GAACTTACTGCCTACAGATAATTATCACGGTGAGCTTCAAAGAGCAGTAGGGGTTCTAAGGCACCGCCTCAGTTTCCCTCACCGCTCCATCCAACCTCAGTTAGCTCGCTCACTTTTATTTTTTAATTAAAAAAAATTTTTTTTGAGGAAGATTAGCCTTGAACTAAGATGTGCTGCCGATCCTCCTCTTTTTGCTGAGGAAAACTGGCCCTGAGCTAATGTCTGTGCCCATCTTCCTCCACTTTATATGTGGGATGCCTACCACAGCATGGCTTGCCAACTGGTGACATGTCCACACCTGGGATCCAAACCCACGAAGCTGGGCGGCCAAAGCAGAACGTGCACACTTAACCGCTGCGCCACCAAGCTGGCCCCTTGCTCACTTTTATCTTTCTCATTTGTTGATTTTTTTTTCTCGTAGTTAGGAAAAAAAAGAATCATACTTCAAAATATGTACACAAAAAATAAACACAAAATGATCCCCACCCCGAACCCAAAAAACAAATTTTAAAAACCACTTTGCTAAGCTATACATTGTAATGTTATCAAAGAATGGGTTAGTAATTGTTAGTGTGTTCCATGCACAGTATACTAATTGGTACTTCAAATTTTTTTTTTAAAGATTGGCACCTGAGCTAACAACTGTTGCCAATCGTTTTTTTTTTCTGCTTTATCTCCCCAAGTCTCACCTGGAACATAGTTGTATATCTTAGTTGCAGGTCCTTCTAGTTGTGGCATGTGGGATGCCACCTCAGCATGGCCTGATGAGCGGTGCCATGTCTGTGCCCAGCATCTGAACCAGCGAAACCCTGGGCTGCTGCAGCAGAGCGTGCAAACTTAACCACTTGGCCAAGGGACTGGCCCCTGGTACTTCAAATTTTTAATGAAAGGATGATAGGAAGGACTTAGAAGTTGGCCAGTGGTCCTTTTTCTGCTCCTCAAATTTCCTCTGTTGGAAGCTGGTTGTTGTGTTTACCCACAGGATTCACTCTGGGTGTGATTATGATTGTATAAACTCCAAGTTCTGTTCCAAGAAGTTTTTTCAGTTGAGTTTTCTGTTCGATATTTATTGATTGCATGCTCTGTGGCAAGGATTGTGGTAGGAGCTGGGTCTATAAAGATGAGTATAACACAGTCTGTGCTCTCGAGGAACTTTTAGGCTGGTGGACTGGACAGGCACATAAATAGATCAGCTCAAGAGACTAATCTTAAGTGTTACGATCAGGGATAGTCAGGGCATTGTGGGTCTCAGGTGAGGGGCAGATGGGAGAAGAGTCACTTCCCCCGGAAGTGATCTTTGAACTGTGTTTTGAGCGAGCAGTGGGAGGTAGGTGAGGAAATGAATGCTGGAAACACACTCCAGGTTGAAGTTACAGTGAGACTAAAAATGCTGATGTGTGAAACAGCGTGGTCTGTTTTGGGAACTTTGCCAGGATGCAAATTATAATGGAGGAGAGGCAGACGGTGAGGCTGGTGAGATAAGCTAGGAACAAATTTGGAAGTCTCTGGAAAGTATCTGCAAAACTTGCCATGGTTAAACTTATCTATAGACAAGGGACATCATAAATTCTACATTAGAAAAAAAAAAAACCCATTGGCTCAAAAGAAAATTACATTCGTTTTCAACCATATTGTGAAAGTATTTGTTCTTTTTCATTAAGGTGAGTTGATCTTCCTCAATAGGAGAATGGATTATGAAGTTACTCTCTTCACAGTGTAGTAAGGGAAAGAGGCATGAACACAGTGGGAAAGAATTGTAATCCAATAACATAGTATCTAAATCAACACTGCATTAATTGGGGGCATTAAAAAGAGCACTAAACGCTTTGCATGGACCATTGTGGTTTAGATGTATACGATTTAATGGTATGGAGTGGTGAACTGATCTATGGAAAAGGGAATAAACATAAAGTCTTTGTTTTTGCAGAAACTACCATGGGTGCATTGCAATGTCTAGAAATTTACAGCAGCGGGTATCAGCCAGAGGCATATTATTATTAATTATTTTACATTGTATGAGGAAGGAATAAAGTACTTGTGTAAAGGAATGATTTACACTAAAATTAAACTCCATGAAGGTTAACTATATGTTGTGGGTTTTTTCCCTGTTGAATTCATAACACTTAAGACATAGGAGGCACTCAAGAACTACTTGCTGAATAAATAAATTCACGACCTAATCATTAATCTGAAAGAGGATGGACTGAGTTTACCTCAGCAATGTCTTATTAGCTAGATTCTACTATTGAAAAAATAATGAAAACTATAGGGAATAATGCCCCTAGGAACATGGAGATGAGTGACATCTTCTAAAGGTGGGAAATCCTGTTGGTCAGAGGACTCCTCCTCTATTAGGCAAAGTAAGGGGGTAGCTGGTGGGTGATGGGGATGCATAAAATTTGAATTAAAAATAAAATGTGAAATGTTATTGGGGATTCTAAGATTCTTAGTGATGTCTAAAAAATTATAAAATAAATTAATACATGCTTATTGATAACATCCAAGCAACTACAAAGACATGATAATGAACCTAGTGTGGCCCCACTGTGGTGCATGGGACCCCAGGTGGATTTACTGTGAGGCAAACAAAACTTAGGCTTGGGGGCTCCTTACTCGCTTCCGGAGGGGCCATCCTAAGATAGTCACATTGTTACATGTGTAGTGAAATTTACAAGTTACTTTTACTGTGATTAGTGAGGACCACTAGGTCTTGCTGCTCTGACTACCCCTTGGTCGCACTTCTCTTTTTGTCTCATGGGATTAGAGGGGCCAAGGACAGTTTTAGAATCCAGTTAAGAGGAAGTTGAGCTGGGAATGTGCCATTTTAACTGTAGTTTGGAAAATACCTAAAGGACTTAAACACACAATTTAAAAGGAGAAATTAAAAAAGGTACCAAGCATATGTCAAGATAGTCACAATAACTGGTAATTAGAGGATCCAAAATAAAATGAGGCATCTCAGTTGTAATTATTTACCCCCAGCCAGTTGACAAGTGTTGGTAGGAATGTGGGTCTATAGGGATCCTCATGTCCTGGTGGGAGTATACTCTGAGTGTATTTATTTTGGATGTGTGGGTATTTAATAAAGCTGTCTATTTGTTCCCTATGGCCCGAGAGTAATGCTCTGGATTATATATCCTAATGAAATTCTCACATCTGAAAATATTGTCTGCAGCATTGTTTGTGGTACTAGGGAAATGGGGCAAGCTGGCTGTCCATCACTTGGAGAGGGGTAGATAAAATGGAGTCCTCCATCACTAGGAGAGGGGTAGATAAAATGAGGTCGTATGCAGCAGTTAGAAGCAATGGATTAGGTGTTCACAAACAATGTGGATGGATCTTAAAACACAGGGCGAAAAGAAACCAGTGAGAAACAGAATTTTAATGTAAATATGCAACACTTAAGTAAATATTGAATGCAAATATGTGTACATACATGCTTACAAAATAATATACATGCTGCAAGAGTGCATCAAAATAAAAGATAAACTTTAAATACTATAAAAGGATTAGTAAATACTTTGTAACTTGGTTCCTCTCCACTTGCCTGAGGCAGTTCGGACCTTAGCCAGATCCCTTTGTTATCAAATTGATGGAATTTACTAATTGGAAGGCAATACAGATCTTCCAGGGCTTTATGAGCCATAGCTGCCCTTAATCATGGAAGTTAATCACGCAGTCCTTCTTGCTCCATGACTAGAGTACAAAGGCTAAGAGAGCACAAAACTAAGGGGCTTCCTTGTGCTTGTCCATAGTTCTCTGAACCCAAAATGTGTCCTAACGCAAAAAAGGGAGTTAGAAACCTGTGTCTTGATGTGAGGTTCTCTGTGCATCCTTTCTTGTAAACTTTACTACTCATTAGTAAACCTTGGTGCTGAGTAAGACTTGAGTTTTGTGACTCTGATGGGTGATTCAACCCATTGCGTTAGTATAAGCCCATTATAACAGTTGCCTATGGATCAAGGGAAGAGAAATAAAAGTGGGATAAAAGTAAATAAGTCAGTAAATTAGTAAATAATATAAATAAGAGAAAGCCTTACTAGGACAAATGATGATGATATGCTATGAACTGAGGATGTGACTTAGTCTTCTATCATCAGTGAAGGTCCAAGGAAAAGAGTTCCAACAATATAAAGGTACAGAAGTGAAAGGTCCTTTCATGTCCCTTACAATAGGTAAGAACTGTTTACAGTTTGTGTCCTTGCATACATTTTTATATATATCATATGATATTTTTGTATCCTTTACATATATGTCATACATGCTGTATATATTTTATGTGTATGCATATGTATCATCTTTTAAAAGCATCTTCTTGGGAATGATTCTCTTTGTTAAACTATGTGTAAATAGAAGGTTTATAAATAGGAACTATTTGGATTGTTGTACTTAAGCACCTAGACCCCCCTGAATGCTCTGAATCCTCAGGACTTGTGGAAATGACCCACTTTTCCTTACTGGAATATAGAGGCCCTTCTCTTCCTTGAAGACTAGGCTGATGATGCAGGCTCGGTGAGTCGAGGAGTCGAAAGAAAGATTTCTTGGACTCTCAAGGTCTGGCAGTAGTGCTCTTTTATTCAGAGAATAGCATGGAGTAGCATGGGGACAGGACCCATGGGCAGTAAAGAGCTGCAGGCAGGGGCTGGCTCTGTGGCCAAGTGGTTGAGTTCGCGTGCTCTGCTGCAGCCGCCCAGGGTTCAGATCCTGGGCGCGGACATGGCACCGCTCGTCAGGCCATGTTGAGGCAGTGTCCCACATCCCACAACTGGAAGGGCCTGCAACTAAGATATACAACTAAGTATGGGGGGTTTGGGAAGATAAAGCAGAAAAAAAATAAAAAAAGAGCTGCAGGCATGAGGACAGGACCCATGGGCAGTAAGAGCTGCAACGTGTTGAGGGTTAGAGCTAAATTTATAAGGCATAGGTATGTGAGTTATTTCATGAAAATCATGAAAAAAAAATCATTAAAATGGTATCAGTGTAGGTGGGGTCTGGTTATTGGGTGGACCTATAGCTTTGGCTAGAAATCAGATTGGATTAAGTCAGGACGTCCTATGCTTCCCAGAGGATGATAAAGATCCGTATGTAGGGCCGGACTCCTTGGGCTTTTCCCTGGGGCAGGGGCAGCCTTGATCCTCATCATGGAGACTTCAAATGAGGTAAGTACCTTAAAAACAATGCTCACTTTCCTCAAGATCTGTCCATATCTCACCTCCTGGTCATCAGAGTCTTATCTAAGATAAAACCTCAGTAAATCTGACTGTGAAAATGCAGAACCTAAGAGACGGGAGAGATTGTACACAAAGAAGCAGCAGGACAGCCTGACACATGCCAGCAGGAAGTGGGGGAGTTTGTGTAGGAGTAGGTGCTGGACCCTTTGTATGAGTGAGGAGAATTTCCTAGAACTCCCCCACTACTCTGTATTATTTTGTTTCAGATCTGAAAGCCTAGAGTTACTGTTTACTTGCTCCTTCTTAAACCAAGCACCAGGAAGGGGAGTGAATTTACCATTATTGACCTAGTCTGAAAAGTAATCACCCCTGTGTAAGAAGAGTTCTAATTACTCTCTGAAACATATGAAAGCGATGAGCAGGAATGGGGAGAGATGGATATTTGACCACACTGAATTTTCTTTAACTTTAAAAAAAGTGCTATTTAAAAATCACTGAAGGTGTATTGTATGGAGTCATTTCTTGGCAGGGGCAGGGCAGTTAAGAAAAGTTATTAAGCACCTATTGTATGCTGGGGGCTCTTATTATGTTAGTTTATTTAATCGTCATAACAAACTCTATGGAATACGTTAACATATAAGCAACTAAGTGCGGCAGATTAGGTAAAGATGGTCACAACTGTATTTCCTATCCCACATATATATTTTTTTACAATCTTATTTTGATACTTTTCACATTAAAAGGTGGGCTCTTCTTCTCCTTCCCTTTAAACTGGGTGGACTTTTGTGACTGTTTTGACCAACAGAATATAAGGAAGCAAAACAAGGAATGTGATTTCTGAGGTAGGTCATAAAAGACAATGCAACCTCCATCTTATTTACTAGAATGCTTGCTCTTAGAACCTTCAGCCACCATGTGAATAGTTTGACTGCTCTGAGACCACCATGCTGTGAGGAAGCCCAGCTATCCTATGCAGAGACCACATGGACAAGCTCTGAGACTACATGAAGGGAATGAGATGTCTAGCCAGTCCCAAGATGTTCCATTCTCTTGCTGTTCCAGCTTCAGCCATCATCTGACTGTAATCACTCAAGAGAGCTTGAACCAGAACTGCCCAGCCAAGCCTTTCTTGAATTTCTGACCCAAAGAAATCATAAGATGTTAGAAGATGATTATCGTTTAAGCCACTAAATTTTAGGGTGAGTTGGTTTGGAGTAACAGATAACAAGAACAGATGTTGCTATTTGGAAATGGAGTGCTGTCATAAGAAAGCCGTAAAACACGGACTGGATGGTGGGTAGACTTGAGGAGATGTTATTAAAATATTGAGGGATCACAAGGGTCATGTTAGCAGTTGCTAAAAGGGCTTCACGTAGTCTATTCAAGTAGTCCCTTCCTCCTAACACCACCAGGGTAACTGTCCCCACCACCGAGAGAGGTCCCTCCTCTCCCATGCCCACTGAGGTGACCATCTCCACCACAGAGACAGGTCCCTCATCTCCTCGGATTATTCATAGTGTCTCTACTACTGAGACATCTCTCACCTCCCTCAGGACCACTGAGAAAGTCACTGTCCCCACTACTGAGACAGGTCCTTCCCCTCCCATGAAAACTCGTAGTGTCTCCACCACTCAGACACCTTTCACCTCCCTCATCACCACTGAGAAGGTCACTGTCCCCACCACCGAGACAGCTCCCTCCTCCTCTGGGCCTACTCCCAGTGTCTCCAGCACTCAGACATCTCTCACTTCCTTCAGGAGCACTGAGAGGGTCACTTTCCCCACCAGCCAGTCAAATCCCATCTCTCCTAGCACCACCAAGGTAACTGTCCCCACCACCGAGACAGGTCCCTTCTCTGCCAGGACCACTGAGATGACCATCTCCACCACTGAGAGAGGTCCCTCCTCCTCTGGGCCTACTCCTAGTGTCCTCACCACTCAGACATCTCTCACCTCCCTCAGGACCTCTGAGAAACTCACTGTCCCCACCACCGAGACAGGTCCCTCCTCTCCCAGGCCCGCTGGGGTGACCATCTCCACCTCTGAGATAGGTCCCTCCTCCCCTGGGCCTACTCCCAGTGTCCTCACCACTCAGACATCTCTCACTTCCTTCAGGAGCACTGAGAGGGTCACTTTCCCCACCAGCCAGTCAAGTCCTTTCTCCCCCAGCACCACCGAGTTAACTGTCACCACCACTGAGACATGTCCCTCCTCCCACACGACAACTTCAAGTAGTGTATTGGTGAGAGATTGGAGGAGAGTGAGAAAATGTTATTGGAACCTGGAAGATAAAAAGACCATTGTTACGGAAGAGAAGAGAGTTTATCAACACTGTTTTCTGCAGCTATATGGAAAAGAGAAAATGTAACTGATGAACTCAGTGATCCGGCTAATAAGATTTCCAGGCAGAGCACTGACGGTGCCACCTTACTTCATCTCACTGCCTATTACAAAATACTAAGAGAGATGAATAAATGTTGTTATTTATGATGATGTTAAAATGATTTATGATGATGTTATTTATGATGATATTATGATGATGTTAAAAAAGAAACAGTTTAGTTTTCAGGCATAATTTAGAGGAAACATAAAGGATTAAGGACTTGCTGGATTTGAAATAAAATTTTTTTATTCCTGGCCTCTCTACATGATGAAAGATTTTCAGAATAAGAAAGATCATCAGGCCGGAGATTAAATCCAGAGAACTGTCAGAAAATCATGGTCCAAAGATAAGGCAAATTGTGTGTGTTTTAAGATCCTTTCTCAAGATAAATGAGATGTGCTTCCTAGCTTCAAAAAGCTTGGAGTCTATTGTAGATTTTAGTGGAGGAGACAGACAAATAAGCAAATACATACAATTCAGTGTGATAAGAGCCCCAATTAAAGAAACATGGGGTGCTATAGAGCTTATAATGGGGCCACTTTACCCTGACTTGGAAAAGAGAAGACATTAAGCTAAGGCTTTCCAGGGCAGGGCATGCCTAAACTAGGCCTTGAAGAATAAATAGCGGTTAGAGAAGGTGGGGGGGGGCGGGGGGGGGGGGGGGGGGGGGGGGGGGGGCGGTGGGAGAGGTGATGATTTCAAGTAGAGAGAGCAGAGTGATGTTAGAGGAAACCCTGAGAAAAGTCTCCCAAAGGAGACCTGGAACACTTGACATTCCTTGTAGTGGTTTTCCCGTGTTACAGGAACAAATGGGATCAACAGGCCAGAAAGGTTCTTTCTTTTTTAAAAAATTTTTTTATGGAATTTTAGAAACATATACGAAAGAAGAGATAATTGTATAATTAACTCTCATGTGCTAAACACTCAGCTTAAAAATTTTCAAACTCATGGCCAATCTTGTTTCATTGATATTTACCCCCTCCTCCATTTCTTTATTTTAAAGCAAATCCCAGGCATATATAATTTCTACTTTAGTGGTATCTCTAATGCATAAAGACTCTTTTTGATTAATAATCATAATACCTCTATCACATACACACACATATAAAAATTAACATTAATTCCTTGATATTGATGCTTCCTTTTGAACAAACTAGACCAACGTTGCTGGGTTCTTTCTGGAAAATAATCACTTAAATCACTCTAATGCAGAAAGAGAATTATTCAGTATCCTCAGGTCCTTGGTTAAAAATTCCTTTTTTGGGGGAAGATTATTCTAGCTTCCTCTTTTATGAGTATTTATGGGTAATAGGTTAGGGAAAACTCTATCCTCAATGCCTCAAGAAGTTATAAAAATGTAAGAAATGGAAGTTTCTATGGGCTCTTAATTTTGTTCCTGAGTAAAGTAATAAAAAGTATTGGGCATTCTCTTCAGAACAATTATTGAGTTATTTATAGAGGCGTAGCAGCTAAAATCAGGAAATCCCTTTATGGTCTGCCCTTAGTGCTAAGTGATCTCATCCTTCACTAGCTTGGGTGCTGGGCTGGTCCGGGAGGATAAAGCTCTCTTACCTTTACACAGAGGGACAAAATTCAGTGCTGTTAATAGCTAGCACTATAAATAACAGGAAATTAGGAAAAAGGGTAAACAGAACCAGATCTGGTACCATGATATCTTGGGATTTGTGTTTAAGTATGAATTAACAATCAAATGCTATCTGGGTTTGTAGTAGTAGCTACAAGGGTGAAAGCTCCAAATTAGCTGAACCCAGAATATGTATGTACTGTATAGGCTTGGAGACTTGAGAGCATGGCATGTTCCGAGATCTGCCAGAACTGTAGTCAACTATGGGATTGGCAAGGCAGGTGCTGGAAAGGTTAGTAGGCGCCAAATGTAAGCAAAGAAATTAGGAATTATTGAAATATTTTAAGTATTAGATTGCTATGATCAGATTTGTATTGAAGTGGGGCATGTAGGAAGGCGCAAAAGCCAATAGGAGACTATTTTATTGAAACAAACAGGAGATGATTAGTGCATGAACAAAACTAGTGTGGATGAGGACCATACTTACAGTGTGCAAAGATGTTTGGAGATGGAATCCACAGTACAGGGAGGCCAGTTAGATAGAATATTGAGAGGAAGGAATTAGGGATGGCTCTGAGGGTTTTGGGTCCTGAGTGTCTTGGAGAATGATAGTGCCAAGATGTCCAATTGCAGTGCTTCTTGGGTGATGTGCAAACTCCACTGGATTACTAGTTAGTGACCATTGGTACTCTAAATCCCATTCAGTATTTCAACAGTAGCATTTATGAAGTTAAGGTGATGTCCAGAGAGTTATTTGAAGGGTGGGTCAAGAAGTTATATTGGAATGGAATGCTTATTCATCCAACATGTCCTCTGCTTGGCACAGAAAACAATTCCCAAATTCCCATGTTCAACTGAACTTCTTCGTATTCCCCAATGCTTTATTTTTAGTTACCCTTACACTAAAAAAGCTCTATTTGGTCTTTCCAAATTCTAAAGTCTACTTCACCATCTATAATCTTATAGATTATAAGGAAAAAAACCACACTTTGATTTAAAGGCATCTTAAACTTCAACTTAATACTTTATAAATTAGGTAGGACTTCATGTACTAGGGTTCCCCTACATCTTAATAGTGGTCATTTATTAAAATCTTTAAAATGATCTTTATCTTTCTTTTGGAAAGTGAATAGCTCTTGGGCTGTTTTCTTTCTGGCTAAACCAGAAGCAGCAGCAGAATATTTAATAATAGATAGTTCTGAGACCCAGGATCTCAACAGGCTTTAAAAGCTGGCTCTCTGTTTTCCCTGCCAGGGTTGGCATTCATTTTACATAGTGACAAACAGATGTGGGGACAGGATCTTTTGTTCTTTCGCAGAATCATTTATACCAGCACTAATGGACTGGAGGAATTGGTTTTAGTCCCCTGTTTTCCCCATGAGCTGTTTCTTCCAAGTATAATACATATTTCCGCACCAAATTTCAAAGGTTAGTCACCTGGCACAGCCAGAGAGAAGCAACACAATAGCAACAGTTATTACCTAGAAGAGAGGCACATTTTCCTCTCATGTCTCTAATGTCTAATCCTTTTTTTTATTTTTCAAGTTATGCAGCAGCAGCAAAGTGCGTTGTGTACTTGGGGCAAATTTACTGACTGTCAAACATGTGAAGTCCAAGAAAGAATTTTTGGTGATTTTTCGAGTAATGGAACAAATATTTAATAACATTTTAATTTATTATCTTGTACCCAGAAATTAGTTTTTCTGGTGATTTACTACAGTCCATAACTTACTGGCTCTGGCACTGATGGTTGATTTACTGTTCTATCAGTTACTTAATTAGAATGAATTATTCATAGTTTTTCTTGATGAACGACCTAATTATTATGCTAATCATAATAATCTAAGTCTTCAATGTTTTCTAAAGCATCCTGCCTAATGGGGTTATTAAGTAGTGTATAATTATAGTCTTATAAAAATTCAGAAACATGCTTTGACAGACATTTTTATTTATGTTTAGACTTTCAAAAACATCAAATGTGAGATATCTTTTGCTCTGAACTCAATTAATTTCTTAAATGTCATTTTCTTTTCATAATATGAAACTGTGAATGAGTGTAATAAATAGAATGACAACCAACTTCATTGTAACACTCAGCAGTGGAACAGAATTTTATACTGAGTCCTGCTTTTGAGGACTTTGGCTTTAGCAAGAAAATTTTCGTTCATGATGTGGGGATTCTGTGGAAGGCAAAAGGAGTGAACTGACCTGACATTTACTGTTATTTTGCCAAATCTTAATCGCTCACAAGAGAAGCAACTGTACTGTGGGTTAATTAACTATTAACTGTTCATACCTGGGACATCTTTCCCTAACTTCTCTACTTTGTTTAATGCCTCAGGCCCAGATCATCAGATTTGCACATGCTTGTCTTATTTCAGGTCAAAACTTAATATGTGAAGATACTAGGATATTCTGTTCCTTTCAGTAATAATAACTACATTAATAACCATCTGAAGTTTGAACATCTGACACAGAAACAAGGTAATAGGAAGTGATATTTTGATAGCAGGTCTCAAACCAAGCAATTTGACAGCCAGGGGCTGGCTCTATATAACTGAGAACAAATTAGGGTTAAAACACACATTATGTTCAATTTTGTTGCCGTGTAGTTGTTAAGAGGATTTTTTTTGAGACTTGAAAACAAGAACTCATTACTTTGGTGAAACATTAAGCCTATTCTGAAGAAATAAGACTGACCTGTTTTGGTCACAACTCATTTTGTCTTTGAGCCCACAGATACAGATGATGAAAACAAACATTTTCCATTATTTAATTCCTTAAACTGTTTGTAAGGTTTTTCATTATTTTTTTTAACTCCCTCATTTTCTCTATCATTTTTAAACCACTGATTTCCACTTCAAGCTCTGGAGAACAATAATTGTGTCCTTCAGACTTGCAAGTGGAAGACATTTGAGGACCTTGTAATCTTGCTTGTCATTCTCCTCTTCATCCTAGTCCTTTTAGAGATCTGTGTCCAGCTATGATATGAGGCAAACTTGTGTGCTGTGGTCTGATAAAAAGTCTTCGTTCCCATCTTTCTGGAGCTGCTATGATTGGACACTTTATTGGACAGGCCACCTCTGGTTGGTACCTTCTACACAATGGTGCTGATTCTCTTGCAGAGTGGAGGGTGTCATTTGAAATGTTGGCCAGAAGAAAACACAACATTAAATAGTGTCTATTCTGTTTGACTTAAATAATTTTTGAAATTACATGGGATAAAAATAAAGAAAAATTAAATGAACTGCTATTTCTAACATCTGCTGAGTCAGCTTCAGGTTACCTTTTGGGCCTGGCTTCCTTTTTCCTTTGGGGTCTGTCTTAGTGTGTTTGGGCTGCCATAACAAAATACCACAGACTGGGTAGCATGTAAACAACAGAAATTTATTTCTCACAGTTCTGGAAGCTGGAAGTGTGAGGTCAGTGTGCCAAATGGTCGGGTGAGGGACAGACTTGTTGTCTCCTCATATGGCAGAAGGGACAAGCAAGTTCTCTGGGATCTCTATTATAAAGGTACTAATCTTATTCATGAGGGCTCTGCCCTGGTAACCTAATCACTTCCCAAAGATCCTGTTTCCTAATATCATCACCTATGGGTTAGGATTTCAACTTATGAATTTCCAGGGGACGCAACGTTCAGACTATAGCAAGGTCCATAGAGGAAGGACACTGTCGAGCTGAAAAGCAGTGTAAAGATTCTCTTTCAACAGGCTCATTTTCTCCTTTCCTTAGAGGAGACTTGATCTTGGCTCTGACTGTTTGGAGGTTGGTGGGTATGATGTAGCTCTGAGATGCCTCCTCTTCAAACTCATTTTAAAGTTCAGTTCCTCCACTTCACTAGGGTAGAAGGAGGGAGAGGGAAAGAGATGCTTATCTCCTGCCTCAATTCGTCTGTAGTGATGCCCTTCTTTTGCTGCTTTTCTGACGGTAACTTACAATCAAAGGTCTCTCTATGGTGGGTGATAACACACTGACTCCTCATAGGACACATGTATGATATTTG